GCTCCCAATTGTTGCCCGTAGAACGTCGCTTGCCAGGTTCGGTGGGAGGGATTTGAAGGATGAAACCACGTCCGAGGATACCATAATCTGGTCAAGTCGGATAGTTTTTTCCTCAGATGTCGGCCAGAAATTGTGAGGCCGAATGGATGGAGGCCCTCGAGCCTTCTTTGGGAACGTTAAGTTTACGGGCAATCCATTTAGCTAGATCGTAAGTGGGGCTGCCTCTGAAGACAACGATCGGTCGAAGGGAAGCATTTGGCTTGTGGATTTTGAGTAATCAATAAAATAAACGGGCAATCCGGGGAGGCAACCCGTTGTCTCAAGTCGCCACTCACACCCTGGAAGAAGGCCACGCATTCAACTTCGCGAGCACGCGAACAGTGGCGCGGGTCAGCAATAAGACAGGACGAGAACTGCTGGAGGCCTGTGGGTCTGACATCAACCCCCCGCCCTATCGCGCTCTCCGTTCCCGCGGCCAAGAGGCGTGACCCAAGGGTGCATGCACTCACGCCGTCGTGAGCCGGCATGGGCTCAGCCTTATCGCGAACGCCCCCCCCCCCAACACTCCTATCCCTCCTACAAAAACTGCTCATTGGGAGCCGCCTGTATGAGACCGAAAACTCAGACGAATACACGTATTGTCCCAGAGGCCGCGTGTTCATCTTCTTTCCAACAATAGCCCGGGATTCGCATATTCACAGACCGAAGTTTTTACGTATCAATGCTTGAGCCGAAGTCCACCAACCAGAGCGAGTAACAGCGTAATATTCGTTACCTGCCGACTGGCAACTAGTAGTATACTTTAGGATAAGGGGATAAACTCGGCGTTCATATTCTTAGCTAATTGACTTTGATCCTTGTAGAGATGAAGTCCAGTTTTATTAATCAGTGATATTTTCTATGCTTTGGTTAATTTGAATACCTCCTTTGTCGTCTGTTTTTAAAGGAAAATCTAGGAACCATTTTTAAGTCTTCCTTTGATTTATTTGGTAGGGGGCACTTGATCCGACTAGGAATACATCCGCAGCAGTATGCTGATGAATGCAAAATGTCCTGGAAAATACAGACCTTTGTGAATCTTTGGCTTCGATGACTGATGGTCAAGCGATTACCGGTTGTGTACCGTATCCAACGGATCTGATGATGGGGGTCCATATGATACAGTTCTGGCTGGACATGTTTGTACTACCTTGCACATACGTCTGGACCCTTTGCCTTTTGAGGGAATAACAAGTGTTGCTTAATTTGGGCAGCGTTTACCTACGCTAATCATGATATATAAGTTTACTGATCCAATCTTTGGTCGGAAACTAGCTGGCAAATAGTGTAATTCAATCGAATTCGATGCCGAGGAATCTAATTTGAGAATGTAGATACGTCTGTGCTGTCAAGGACACGAATGCCTTAATTCAGTCGACAAGAGCCCCTTTGTTGCCTATACCGAGCTCCGAACGCGCTAAATAAGCGGTAGCAACGAAGAAAAACCAGCCTCTGAACGTATTGTGCGTGGTTTAAGTTGATCTCACATCCTTGACCGCCAAAACGGCACAAATACTGTAGCGTTGGGCGTACTCAACCACCCCTCCACCAACTCTGACGCCTCAGGTGGAGACCATCGTCGACCTCCGTCTCCCGCCATCTCTCCGCGAAACCATCAAGGCCGTGCATCAACTCTCCGGCAGGAAAGCGTCCGGATCGGACGCGATCCGTACTGAGGTCTACACGCAAAATGGTCCTCAAATCATGGATCATCTGACTACGCTCTTCCAGGAGATACGGCGTCAAGGAGAGGTCCCGAAGGATTTCAAGGATGCTAAGAATCGTGCACCTCTACAGGCGGAAAGGAAGCCGCCGAATCTGCGACAACCACTGAGGCATTTCTCTATTGAATATCGCCAGGAAGTTCTTCGGTCGTATTATTCTGAACTGCCTGAACAAATATCTGGAGCATGACCTCTTGCCGAAAAGCCGATGGGGCTTCAGTCGTCATCGTGGGACTACGGTCATGATCTTCGGTGCCCGTCAACGTTAGGAAAAGTGTCAGAAGATGCACTTTTTGTCTAACAGCTGCCAACAACTCCAGCATCCCTACCTTTGGACAGCGCTTCATCACACTTGATTTGGGCTTTCGTCGGATTTTCCGATGGGTTTTCATTATTGTCGACGTTTCCGTCGCCCTCATAGGTGCCGACTTCCTAGCTCACTTCAATTTACCATTAGATTTAAGGAATTGCCGACTCGTCGACTGCATCACCAACCATCATGCCCGTTGTCAATCCGGCGTGAACGCCTGCGTCAACCCTCTCACTGTTATGCCCATCTCTCACTGTCCTTTCCACTCACTCCTCAGGCAGTTCCACGCCTGACCAACCCCTCATTTCGTGAAGTGGACATCAAACACACAGTCACTCACCACATTTCCAACACCGGACATCCCAAATCTTGCCGACCACGTCGTCTGGCACCGGACCGTCTGAAGATCGCCAAAGCAGAGTTCGAACACATGCTTGAGCTCGGCATCATCCGACAGTCCGACAGCTGCTGGGCATCACCCCTCCATCTAGTCTCAAAGAAGAGCGGCGACCGGCAACCGTGTGGTGACTATCGGGTGTTGAACTCATTGACTGTCCCTGACCAGTATCCCATCCCGCATATCCAAGACTCCACTCTTTCGCTGCATGGTAAGCGGATATTCTCCAAGTTTGACCCTGTTCGTGTTTACCACTAAATCCAAATTGAAGCCAGTGATGTGCCGAAAACTGCAGTGACCACTCCCTTTGGGTTATTCAAACTCACTCGTATGTCCTTTGGTCTGGGGAACGTCACTCAAACCTTTCAGAGGTTTATTGACCACTTCGTCTACGCCTACATTGATGATTTGCTGGTGACTAGCACTGACGCTGCCGAACACGGGGTTCATATTCGACAAATACTCGAACGGCCCGACTCCTTCGGCGTTGTAATCAATGCTGCTAAATGTGGGTTTGGAGTTCCCAGCCCAAGCTTCTTGGGTCACAAAACCAACTCTGACGGGATAAACCCCGTCCCAGAAAAGGTTTCGGCCATATCAACGCTTCCCGTCCCAACAACCATCAACCAACTACGCCGATTCTTGGGAATGGTGAACTACTATCACCGTTTTCTTCCCCATGGTGCCACCATACTGCAGCCACTCAACAGCTTGTTGGATCGCTCCAAAAAGGCACTGGCGATAACCGAGAAGTCCGTCAAGTCCTTCAATGACGTCAATGTCGCACTTGCGAACGCAACACTGCTAGCCCAACCCCGCGCTGATGTCCAACTAACTCTCATGACAGACGCTTCCAGCACTGCCGTTGGTGCATCACTCCAGCAAACTGTTAGTGGTGTTCTACAGCCTCTGGCTTTCTTCTCGAGGAAGCTCGGACTAGCAGAGACCCGCAACAGTGTCTTCGGCCGAGAACTGCTCGCCGTCTACCCATCCATTCGGCACTTTCGCCATTTCCTCGAGGGTCGTGAATTTGTTGTTGTAACAGATTACAAGCCACTCGTTTTTGTACTGAGGGCCTCTCCCGATCGATAATCGTCCCATGAAACCCGTCATCTTGACTTCATCTTACAGTTTTCCTGCGACATCCAACATGTCGATGGTGAGGAAAATGTGGTTGCTGATGCTCTTTCAAGAATCGAGATGGCTTCCATCACAACAGACGCCATGGACTGCACACTCATGGCCGAGGCTCAGAGATCGGATGACGAGTTCTCCCAATACCGCCGTGAGGACTCTTATTTACGTCTTCAAGATGTCCCCCTTCCCAATGGCACTGGCGCCATAACGTGTTACCTTTCTACCGGACACGAACGTCCTTTTGTCCCAGCAACTTTACGAGAACAAGTGTTGCACGCTCTTCACAATCTATCCCACTCTGGAGTCCGGGCGACAGTGAAACTCATCACTGACCGATTCGTCTGGCCCAACATCAACCGGAATGTACGGCGATGGACCCGATCCTGTCTACCATGTCAGAGCGCCAAAACGCATCGGCATACTATTACTCCACCATGTACTTTCGCCACTCCTGATGCACACTTCAGCCATGTGCACATTGACCTGGTAGGTCCGCTTCCCCCATCTAACGGTTCTACCTATATGCTGACATGCACTGACCGCTTTACTCGGTGGCCAGTTGCTGCGCCCATTCTGGACATCAGTGCCGAAACCGTAGCAAAAGCCTTCCTGCTTCACTGGGTGTCTAATTTTGAAGTTCCTGCCACTGTCATCACTGACAGCGGATCCTAGTTCTAGTCCACGCTGTTTCGCGAGCTCACCTCCCTTCCCGCCAGCAACCGAATCCGAACAACAGCATGCCACCCTCAAGCAAATGGCCTCGGCCAACGTCTTCAGCGACAGCTCAAGACTGCCCTAATGACCCAGCCCGATCTATCTCGATGGTCCGGTCACCTTCCCTTGGTGATGTTGTCCATCCGTTCGACTCTCAAGGCCCACATCGGTTGCGCTGCAGCTGATCTTGTCTACGGAACCTCCCTACGACTGCCCGGTGAGTTAGTGTCTCCTTCAAACACGCTAACATGTTTTGAACCTTGCCGTTATGTGGAGCAATTACGTAGTGCCATGCGCAACCTCCGCGCAACGTCCCCTCGGGCGTCATCGGCCAATTCTTTCATCCCTCCCAACCTGGGTAAGTGCGATTTCGTCTGGTTTCGGCATGACGCTGTCCGACGACCACTCCAACCACCCTATGACGGGCCGTATAAAGTCCTTCGTCGATGTGACAAAGATGTTTGCATCGATCGCAACGGCAACACCGACACAGTCAGCATTGATTGCGTAAAGCCAGCGTACATCGACGACAGTGATCATTCCTCACCCCGACACTATACCCCGCCGTCGTAACTTCTTTACTCAGTCGGAGTTGCCCAACGCCGTTCTGGCGCAAATTTGGTCATTGACCGACCTCACCAAAGACGGAAAATTGGACAAACGGGAGTTCTCAATTGCAATGGCTTTAATTAAGAAGTGTTTGGAAGGAAATCAACTGCCACCGTCAATTCCTCCGAGCTTTCTTCAGGAACCCATATCTTCATTCCTGGAACCACGAAAACTGTCAGTCACTGAAGCACCTACCGCCCTGGGTTTGGTAACCAACGGAGCGGACTCTAACGAGTGGTCTATTCCGCCTAACTCTCGGCCCAAGTACCGCCTGCAGTTCAATCAAAACGACCGTACTAAATGTGGCTATCTAACTGGTGTGGAAGCTCGTGGAATCTCCATGTCACCTCACCTGCCTCAGTCAACCCTTGCCTACATTTGGAACCTGGCAGACATCGACAATGACAGTAATCTGACAGGCAATGAATTCCGCATCGCGGCCTACCTGATCGACCAGGCTCTAGCGGGACGCACTTCGCCCCCCCCCCCACACTGCCCCCTTCTCTTATCCCGGTACAGGCTCAAAGTCAGTAAGTCGATCCAAGCAGAAATCTCGGTTCATCTGGACGAACATCCGTCGAGCAGAATGTTCCCTGCGACTCAACACACCAAACTTTCGAAGACAAGCGCATGCAGAACTTCTTGTTGGGTCAGGCAGAAATGGATCGACGCAAACAGGATCTCACAGAGAAGCTAAGGCAGGACGATGAGGCCCGTCGGGAACAGGCTCGCCTAGAGGCCGAGAAGCAGGAGAAGCTTCGACTAGAACAGGAAAGGCGAAGACAAAAAGAGGCGGAGAAGGAGGCCGAACATCAGCGCAACCTTGAAGCACAGCGCGAAGCTCGAAGGCAGCAGGCCACCGCAGCGCACATCCAGGCTCTGAAGGAGGCCCAGCGTCAGAAAGCCCTAGAGCTGGAGAAGGCCCGTGTTGAGGCCCTGGCGAAGGAGCGTGCGGCCGAGGCAGCTGCCCTCGAACAGGCAAAGACACTTCGTGCGAGTCTGCTGGAGGCAGCCGCCAGTCTGGCCACTCGTCGCCAGACCCTCGAGGTGCGCCTGTCAGAAGTGCAATCCGAATACGAGGGACACCGACGGGCTATCCTCGAGATGGGCGACCGCCGCGACGCCCTGGAACGCGAGAGTGTGGATTTGAGTGAACGTGTGGAGGCCGGCCGAGCTGAACTGCATCGTTGGCAACGCGAGCACGAACAACTCTCTCTGCGTGTCACTACCAGCGTGGACGCCAACCAGGCCCCTGAGCATCACAAGACCCTCGTAAACGATATGAGGCAACTCAACGAGAGCAAACAACAACTGGAACACCGGCTAACTGACTTGAATTCACGAGACGCTGGAGGGCCAGACTCTAGCCTCACATCGACGTCGGGCCAAGGAGCTGGAAAAGACTCATGCCCGAGGTGCGCGCCTTGCGGGCCACCTTGGGGGATCGTCAAAAGGCTTACCGCGAGGATAAGAAACGAAAAGCCAGCATGGCAGCAGCTGCAGCTGCACTGACAGCGTCATCGGCTGCGAAGTCAACCAACAGCTCAACTTTGTCGAGTGGCCCCACAGAGACCTACGTTGCCCTCTATTCCTACACGCCCTCAAGCTTTGATGAACTCGCCTTAACGGTTGGAGATAAAATCTTGATACACAAGAGCCCACGAGAGGGAGGAGGAGATGGCTGGCTTTATGGTGAGCTCAATGGGAAGCGTGGTCTCGTTCCAGCCACCTATGTCAAGTCGCAGTCAGCTCACCAGATATTTCCTGCGGCTATATCGGATCCTTTCGTCCCTGTAATGCCATCCCAAACCGAAACCGGCGATTCTGCACTGGTGGCGTCCGCAACCGTTGACGAGGACCAAAAACGTCTGACCTCAACTGCCACACCTCTCTTCACTTGCATAGCTCTTTATGACTTCAAGGGCCATCTGCCGGGTGACCTTTCACTGAAAGTAGGTGAGAAAGTAAACATCCTCAACGAAAAGGACGGCTGGTACGAGGGGGGTCCTTGTACAGCCACAAGAGCGGCATGTTTCCGGCAAATTACGTGGAAAAACTGCCTTCCACTGAATCTTCCAACTCGCAGGGAACCAATGGCGTGGCGCCCGTCCAACCCACCTCTACGAGCCTGCAGGAAGCTGCCACCTACCCGACTTCTGCGTCTACTACAGCCACTAGTATTAAGGCGAACCAACCTGAGGAAATGGCGATAACTGTGCTGGACCCACCGGAACTTGCCATTATGTAGAGTGCCTTTACGGCTGCTGGTGTTGGCCAGCTCACTCTTGTTGCCAAACAGTACGTCAAAGTCCAACGGAAGTCTGCCTCGGGCTGGTGGGAGGGAGAAATCCAGCAACGAGGACAGGACAGGCAGGTGGGTTGGTTCCAGCCATTTTTGTACGTGTCGTCAGCTCCACCTCCAAACCTCCCGTTACGGATAGTCGTGGGCAGCATCAGGTATCCCCCACTCCGCTCCAACCACCACAACGACTGCAAACAAGTCATTGGTGCAAGCGAAATACGCCTATAAGGCTGCCCAGCCGGACGAATTGACCTTCGAAGAGAACGCCCTAATCGAGGTTTTGAACCACGAGGAGGAGGGCTGGTGGCGCGGTCGCCTGACCGCTTCCGGGGTCGAAGGTCTCTTCCCAGTGAATTACGTCCAGCCCTATAACAACGCTGCAGTTGACGGAACCTCTGGTGGACAATTTGATTCGCCCAAGACCGCCGCAGCCTCTTCTTCGGCGCCGAAGCCATGCTAACTTCCTTCCACAGTTTGACGCTCACTCGTCCCGCAGTCTCCTTTTTCACTAATTCCCTACTTTTTTCTCTAATGTCCCCTTTTCCGTTCTCTACGTCCCCTGGTCCTCTCTGTAATCCCTTCCTGCCGGCTGTTTTGTGCTTGGCCTATGGCAATACGTGACTGTCCTTTACGTTTTGTAAACTGCGGTTTTGTTGAATTATTCCTACTATGCCGCAAGATTCTCCCCCACACCCCCCCATCTTCTATATCCATCGGTCATTTCCTTGTATTCTTTAATTTGGGCTCATCCTGGAGGGATTATTTCTTACCTAGTTGCTTTTTACTCAGGTATTACCTATATCATCCCCTCCTTCCCCATTGTTGGGACTCCCGAATGACAGGTCTACTCAAAATGCAGCATACTAAACAGTGATGCCTCCACCTACTGGCGACAGCCCGCCTCTGGTTCGCCGCACACGATCTGGTCGTCACGTCCACGGCCCGACAGGTTTGTGGCTGGCTAGCATGTCGACGCCTTCACCTAGTTTGTTGTCAGGGCGGGGGTGGGAGTTGTAGCAGCCGCTCCAGTCCCCCTTTTCTCCGGCTCCGTTTTGTCGGTCGATGGCCGCGACAATCGTTGACAGGCCGCTAACACACGACCACCCTCGCCGGCTAGAACTGGGGCGCTCTGGCTTGATACCCGTGAGGCCTTGTGAGAATGCGCCCTCCATTCCTCCTCTAATTTGTCCAATCACACGACCAACACTCAGACAGTCATCCCCTCTTGCTGACCCAGTCACTCACTCCTGCGTAAACAACACACCGCGACTGACGCTCTCCGTAAACGGACGCTTATCTCTGTTGCAAGCAAACAGCCAACTTACGGCAACCTGCCCTGGGTACAGAATAAACTATTCCTCATAGCTCCCTGACTGCTGACATTACACGAAACGAACTTATTGTGGGTGGCTTAAGTTGATCTCACATCCTTGACCGCCACAAAGACAAATACTGTAGCCAGAAGACGAGGTGGCGAGCGTACGTAGCCTTCGATAAATTCTCATATACAGTTATATATAAACGGGTAGAAGTCAAACATGTCAGCGATAAGAGAAATCGATAAAAGTTCTCCTTAAAACACAGGCGGGATGTGAGCGGAAGTGCGCCAGTAGGTGGGGGAGTTGCACCGTTAGTCAACCTTCGATCACTTTAGGCGCGGAGCCTGAACGTGGTTCTTCTGTGCGCATAAGGCTGGCTTTCGTAACCTAATGGCGGCTGCTTCGGCTGTCCACTAACAGTCGCTGGCCTAGTAGCTTAGGGTAGCTCGATGGGACCTTATAAATCACGCCAAAAGCTTCGTTGGGGTCCACATGCGCGAGAACGGCGCTGCTTATACTCCTCGTTTCGCCTTTTCCCAGCCGTGCCGGTAGGCGTTCGCGTATTCTCTTGGATAAGCGCCGACTCGTGCGACCAATATAACCTGCTCCAGTCGGCACACATATCCCTCGACTATATGGTCTACCTAAGATCCATAAGGAAGGCCTGCCAGTCCGTCCGATCTTAGACATGCGAAACTCTCCGTATCATGCCATAGCAAAGTGGCTAGCAGAGAAACTCAAGCCCCTACAGCGTCATCTAGCACCACGGAGCTACCGAGACACCTTTGAATTCATTGACGACATCAAAGACCTTAACGTCAACGGCATGGTGATGTTCTCGCTAGACGTCTCATAACTTTTTACAAACGTTCCGGTCAGCGAGACAGTTGATTACATCTGTGATTTTCTATCTGCCATTCAGCAGGAAATAGGAATTCCGACGAGGACGCTCAAGGAACTATTACTAAGACGCACATTGAATGTGCAGTCCCTGTTCGACAACCAAATCTATAGACAACTAGACGGCGTTCCTATGGACTGGGTTCTTGGACCTCTCTTAGTCGACGTCTTCATGGGCAAATAAGAGTGATTCTAACTGAGCGATCAGATCGATAAGTTTAAACATTACGGCCGCTATGTTGATGATATCTTTGCAATTGCCACTGCAGAAACCGGCGTAACTACCCTCTTAGATGCGGCAAATCAGGCACATTTGTCGATCAAATTCACGCTGGAGATCGCAACGGCCGGTTCGCTCCCTTTCTTAGATGTCCTTCTAAGCAGGAGACCAGACGGGAGTGTCCGAAGAAGCGTCTATCGGAAGAAAACCTGGTCTGGACAATACACGAACTTTGCCAGTTTCGTACCCCTCCAACAGAAACGAAATCTAGTCCGATGTTTGGCACAAAGAGCTGGAAAAATTTGCGCAACAGATACCATCGAGGGGGGAATCAGAAAAATCCAGGACTTCCTTCGAGAAAACGGGTATCCTGAAAGGTTCATTGTATAGAACATTGCCGAAAGACCGGTCAAACTAGCCACATCTACAGCTAAAAAATGTTGTTCCTCAAATTCTCTTTCCAAGGGGACACGACGAGTGAACTCCTAAGGAGACGCCCTGATCAAGCTGTCTCGCGAACCTTCCCAGCAGCAAGGGTTCGCATATCATTTTCTACTAACCCTATTTTACGGGGGGAAGGTAAGCATAAGTTGCCACCGCAGACCACCTCAATGTGCCTCTATTCCCTCACTTGCTCCTGTGAAGCAGGTTATATTGGTCGCATGAGTGGGCGCTTATCCAAGAGAATACGCGAACGCCTACCGGCACGGCTGGGAAAAGGCGAAACGAGGAGTATAAGCAGCGCCGTTCTCGCGCATGTGGATCCCAACGAAGCCTTTCGCGTGATTTATAAGGTGTCATCGAGCTAGCTTAAGCTACTAGGCCAGCGCCTGTTAGCGACAGCCGAAGCAGTCGCCATTAGGTTAGGAAAGCCAGCCTTATGCGCACAGAAGAACCACGTTATGGCTCCGCGCCTACAGTGGTCGAAGGTTGACTAACGGTGCAACTCCCCCACCTACTGGCGCACTTCCGCTCTCACCCCGCCCCTGACGATGACTCCTTCTACCACCCCCCCCCCTACCCCCCTTCCCACAGTCTCACACCCGGCCTGTGTCTTAAGGAGAACTTTTATCGATTTCTCTTATCGCTGACATGTTTGACTTCTACCCCGTTTCTATATAACTGTACAGGCTCTATGAGAATTTATCGAAAGCTACGTATGCTCGCCACCTCGTCTTCTGATTACTTCTATGGGAATTTTCCCAACTCTAAATACTGTAGCGTTGCGCCGGACACTTCAGAGGCGTACTCAACCACCCCTCCATCATCTCCGACGCCTCAAGTGGAGACCACCGTCGACCTCCATCTCCCGCTGTCTCTCAGCGAAACCATCAAGGCCGTGCAACAACTCTGCAGCGGGAAAGCGTCCGGATCGGACGCGATTCCTACTGAGATCTACATGCACGATGGTTCTCACCTCATGGATCCTCTGACTGCGCTATTCCAGGGGGTATGGCGTCGAGAAGAAGTCCCGAAGGATTTCAAGGATGCGAAGAATCGTGCACCTCTACAGGCGGGAAGGAAACCACCAAATCTGCGACAACCACTGAGGCATTTCTCTGTTGAATATCGCCAGGAAGATCATCGGTCGTATTATTCTGAACCGCCTGGACAAATATCTGGAGCAGGGTCTCTTGCCGGAAGGCCGATGGGGCTTCAGTCGTCATCGTGGGACCACGGGCATGATCATCGGCGCCCGTCAACTTTAGGAAAAGTGTCAGTAGATGCGGACCAACCTCTCTTCTACATTCATGGATCTGACGAAAGCCTTCGACATGATGGTCATGCATCACCCCCCACCCGACCGCAAAAAAAGTTTACGGCGCCCAACCGTAATTAGTGGACTTCACATATCTGGGCTGCACTCTCTATCGCGGCACCAAAATCAACGATTAAGTGGCACACTGGTTTTCCAAGTCCAGTCAAGCCTTTGGTCGTGTTCAAAATACAGTTTGGAAACGCCACGCTCTTCAACTCAACACGAAACCGAAGATGTACAAGGTCGATATCCTACCGACGTTGCTGTATGAAGCAGAGACCTGGATGGTCGCTATGTTGGGACCACTACAACTACGCCGGAGCAGCCAGCTCGTACGGATGGAGGACGAGAAGCTACCCAGACGACTCTTCTATGGAGACGTCGCGAGGGGTCCACGACGGCAGGGAGTTTAGTTCCGGCACTACAAGGATACAAACGCAGATGCGAGTTCTAGAAAATTGTAGTGGATAAGAAGAAGAAGAAGAGGAAGAAGCAGAAGAAGAAGAAGAAGAATAAGAAGAAGAGGAAGAAGAAGCGATCGCTGGAACAAGGGCTTTGTTCGCTTGATGGTTCAGATTCTCGCTTAAGCCCATCATGAGAGACAGTGGCAGAAACGGGTGATTTGCGCGCGCGAATTTGCAGCATTTATAGGATGGTTGCACACAGATCGGAGGCCATCATAAGGGGTCATCTTATGAGACCAAAAGACCGACTGCAACGGCAAGAAACGTCTGAAGTCGTTTACCGGATCTGGTGCAGTTGTGGACAAAGCAACTACGTAGGAGAAACTGGAAGAGTGCTACGGACGTGAATTGCCGAACACGCGGCAGCGGTGAGGAGAAATGACGCCAACTCCCAGTACGCGGCCCATTCGACGAGACCAGGCCACACATTCAAGTTCGATGATGTCGAAATTCTCGCGAGAGGGGATACTCGCGTGAGCCGCGAGTTACTTGAAGCATGGTTCAAGCGAGGTCAGTCTATCAACAAGTGCAACGATATCCCCACTCCATATTCCGTGCTGAGGCACAGTCTGGCCAAAATAATTGACCACTCTGGGAGCGCGCAGGCCGGTGAGCCAGATGGCCGAGCAATCATCACGCCAGTATCCAACACGGGTGATGAGATTTCGGAAATTAGCAACTTGCATGCCGGCCATCAAGTAATTAGCGCAGCAGCGGACAACAATTCTTGATGAAGGGGAGCGCGGTTAATTACTTTGGATATGCGGTAGCATAGCGACTGCATCCTATAAACACTACAACTTCCTGTGTGCGAATCACCCGTTTCTACCACTGTCTCAGATGATGGATTCAAGTGATAATCCGAAATGTCAGGCGAATAAAGCCCTTGTTCCAGGGATCGCTTCTACTTCTACTTCTTCTTCTTCTTCTTCTTCTTCTTCTTCTTCTTCTTCTTCTTCTTCTTCTTCTTCTTCTTCTTCTTATTATTATTATTATTATTATTATTATTATTACTATTATTATTATCGACTACAAGGATACTCTGAAAACCTCCCTGAAGTGTCCGCATATCAGCTCGGCAAAATGGGAAGGTCTCACTGGGACCATCCGACGAAGAGGAGAACAGAGAACACAGGCGCAGCAGTCTTCGAAGCTAACCGCACCACCACCTCCAAAGCCAAACGCGAGACACGCAAATACTAACTGTAATCGCCACGTCACAACGCCAAGGCCTCACCGCCTCCAACGTGCCCACGATATCAGTGGACATTCCGGGCGCCAACTGGACTTATTGGACACCTCCAGACCAACGGTCGCACTCGGAAGGTACCAATCGTCGTCTCTCCGTCCACCTCTCCCTCGCCTCCCACGCCGTCAACTAAAGTTGACCGCTCTTCCGAACCACCAATACCATCCTTCTCCTCCTCCTCTGATTCCCCAGCGTCTGCCGTTGTGGCCTCTGCCATACATGTCAACACTACCCACCCTCCTGACACACCAACAAACGCCAACACTACCACCGTCAACAACGGTAACGAGAACCGGGTCTATATCTGACCTCATTGCGATCGTACCTTTATCTCACCCATTGACCTGGTCGGTCATCTGAGAATCTATCGCACAGAGGCTGGCGAGCCAGTGCCTGGAGCACCAACCTGCGCCCGCCGCATCCTCCTCCACTGTCTGCGCTGTCCTCGCACATTCACGCACTGCATGTGCCTATACGATCACAGGCGAATACGCGAGAGCGGAAGTGACAGCAGCCCCGACGAACCTAACACATCCAGCACACGCACCATGCCTAGCCTAGCCCACATTCCGTAACCCAGCGCGTCCACAGCCACCAGCTCCACCGCACTCAGTACATTTCGCCCACCCACCATGCTCAGCTCAACCCGCACCCCGTCGTCCAGCGAGCCTACCATCACCAGCTCCACCATCTCCGTCAATGAATATGATACTGACACCGCTGACTTCTCATGTCCACACTGTACTCGTACATTCACGGCACGCGTCGGCCTGATCGGTCACTTTGAGAATCCATCGCGCAGAAACTGGCGAATCAGTGCCTGCAACACCAATCCACACTCCACGCCTCCGCGTCCGCTATCAGCATTGCGCACGCACATTTATTCCCCACATGGGTCTATTAGGCTACATGCGCGTCCACGAAAACTAGTGGTAGAGAACTGCCGGCTACACCAGACAATCTCAGCCACTCCCACCCACATCACACAACATCATCTTGAAGAAGGACACAGGATGACTGGGACTAGAGTTTTATTAGTCCGGCGTTTAGGATTCCTGCTCGAACCATCAGAGACAAAAGCAGATGCGGGTGGTTCATGCAAAAGGGACTGAATTACTTTTAGGATGCAGTCGCCATGCTACCGCATACCTATGAATATTCACGGCTCCGCCCCCCCCCCCTCCCTTCAGCAGGGATCGTTGCACCTGCTGTGCTGACTGTCTGATGACCGACATTCACGTTATTAATTGCAGCAATTTCATCACCTGCTTTGGATGTTGGTGTAATTATTGCCCGACCATCTGAACCACCGACCATGGTGTAGGTAACGGTGTTCACATGTGCGCTTCCCGCGTCGCTAATTACTTCGCTCAGGCGAAGTCTCAGCACTGAATATGGAAGGGGAAGTCATTGCACTTGTTAATGGAATTGGGAACCAGTAAACCATGACTCAAGTAGCTCCCGGCTCACGCGATTGTCACCTCTTGCGAGGAATTGGACCTCGTACGACTTGGATTTGGAGTTGCACACAGACCGCAGGAAACCATCAGGCGTCTGGTAATAAAACCGAAAGACCCGCTGCTATGGCAAGAAATGATTGTGGTCGTTTATCGGATCTGGTGCAGTTGCGGACAAATAAACTACGTCGGAAAAAACCGAAAGACAGACCCGAATGTGAATGGGCGAACACGCCGCAGCGGTGCAGAGAAATGACGCCAGCTATCCAATTGCGGCTCACTCGACGAGATACGGACACACATTGAAATTCGACGAGGGCGTAATTCTCGCAAAAGGTGACAACCGCATGAGCCGGTAGCTGCTTGAGCCATGGTGTACTGGTCATCAGCCCATTAAAAAGTGCAATGATCTTCCCCTTCCACACTCGGTGCTGAGACTTCGCCCAGGTGGAGTAATTAGCCATGCGGGAAGCGCACATGTGAACACTTTTCCCAACGCAACTGTCGGCGGGTCAGATAATCGAGCAATCGTCGCACCAACACCCAACAAACGTGATGAAATCGCGGCAATTAACGACGAGAATGTCAGCCATCAGACAGTCAGCACAAGAAGTGCAACTATCCCTGAATACGGTGAGGGGGGCCGTGAACATTCACAGGTATGCGGTAGCATGACGACTGCATCCTATAAATACTGCAGTCCCTTGTGAATGAACCCCCCGTATCTGCCTTTGTCTCTGATGATGGGTTGGAACCGGAATCCGAGATGTCGCGTGAATAAAGCTCTAGTCCCAGCGATCGTGTCTCCTTCTTTAAGATTACTTCCTGAGACTCGTCTGTTCGCCTCTATTGACGTCATCACCCACCACAAGCACCCAATCGCCACCTCCCACGCAAGTGTGAAGTGTGCGTCTCGGTCCCCTACTCATTCGGCTCCTCTCGAGCGCAAGACTATCACGACGCGTGCAGCATCGTGGCTTGGGTAGCTGTTGACCAACGCCCCAAATTGATCCAGACTGTCCGCCCAGTTTTATGTGCGTTATGTAGTAGCGATCTGGTGGGCTGAGAGCCAGGCTGTCACGGCCCCTTCTCAAGCGATCTGTGACACTCTGATGAATATGAAGAGAGTGTTTGGTTTTGTATGGCTGCTTTGTAGGCAGTGCCTCTCAGTCGATGACTGCTTAGTTACCCAACCTTGAAGAATGGTAGCCCAGGCTAAATGCAGGTTCACGTGTCACCCTTCAAGGTCAAAAGGTCTGAAAGCGTGTGCTATGCCTCTACGCCCTCGCAGCCTGGTATGCGCTGGCAGTTCCCTGGTACCTGATTACCTGCCAGTAGATGTAATTTCGCTCCCTCTGGGTACGCAGGTGGTGGACATGGTTTCCCAATCATCCCCGTCCTCCTGACTCCTGTTGAGGTGTTCTTGTTGGTGCAAATGTCTGCTCAAGGGTATGTTGTGGATGAGGGAGTGTGTTCGCACGCCTAGGTGCGGGTCCGGCCGCACCGGACACCTGCGTCTTCCATTGCTTTTATTTTCACAGGTGACATATTATTGATGGGCCTATTCGTCATTAGTAGTGAGGCGACTTTCTGGCGCATGGTGTGATTTGCCTCGTCGGTTGCGTTAGTTCTTACGAGCTGAAGGCATCCTCGGAGCTCGGTTTTGGGAGATAGCGGTCTTTCATCGTTTAGATGCCTAATATTAACTTTTGACCATGAAACGAAAGTAGCGTCGTCATCCAAAGCACGTAATTTTGAGTCATGACACTAGGCTTTCCTATAGGTGCGCAACACAGGTAAGGGGGTCATGGAAACTGGACATCTTTAATACATCCCACAACAGTATGGTACTCAGCTGCCATAGAACGCAATCCATAGTCCATTTCGATGCAAACGTACTTAACAGCTGGAAAAAATGCACGTTTCAGCGTGTAGGTGCATGTGACAAACCGCAAATTGATGCCTAACTGCAACTATAATCCATGTGGAAATTGAAACGCTGGACTAGCTTTTTCGTAGCAGCTCATTACACGAGCGCTGACTTATTTACCCCACAGTGAACAGCACCCATGAGTTGCACTAAATATCCCACAACACGGGAAGGAATACAACTGGCTTATGACGGGTAATATAACGTAAAAAAGCACCTTGGTCTCTCTTCGATTTGTCGGTATTCAAATTTGCAGATATCATATTACCTGATAATTTATCTTGTATATCACTTATAACGAGGGCCATTTATCGTGAATAAAGATGTAGAAACAAATCCCGCTTAGTGGCGCCATGCGTCTGTCATTCCTAATACCATTCTGATAACAATTTGCATCTAAACCTAGCCTGCCCTTCAGTATCTTCCATATGGACCGGAATATAATACACATCAGTCTCCCTGGTTTCATTTTTGCTGAAATTATTTTAATGAACTATCACACAGTAACCAACCATGGGTTAAGCCCGGGAAACCTAATGATGAGGTTTTTACATTTACAGTAGACGTGTCCTCTCCAGGGTTTATCCGCTTTTATTTAAATACAGCAAAACCTACGCACAAAACTAGTTTTCACTATTTATTTTCAGCCTTATTAAGGATGTTCCACATCTTCTTAAAGGACCCTACATTCGAAGGACAACAAGTCGTTAGGGAAATTGATTACACTTTATTTCGTACATGTTCGACGCTAGCTCCTCAGGTTGTCGTCAGGAGTGTCAAAAGCGTGAGAAACTGTTAAACTCTAAGGTTGCCAGAAAAATCGATATTGCTTTACGAATGCTACGATTGGGTCAGTGCTGTGCGCCCTGGTTGGCTATCACGTTTTTCATTTTCTTTGATAGTTGTGTACATGGCGCCCAGGTCGATGCGTTAACTGATGCATGAACCGTCAGAGTAAATCACCACCTGAAATCTTTGGCCCTCCCTTTTTTCTCTACTATTTATGTTTATGACGCCCAGATCGATGAGCCGATTGACACATGAATTAGCAGTGTGAATAACCTTAAAACATTCTTGACCATTTAATATAGCAGAAACCGACAATGCGTATTTTATTCCAAGCAAACTTTTCGTCAGCTTATATCGTATCCATAGCGACTTTGGATAAGTGGTTTTGCTCCCTAACCGTTAATTGGTGTTCATGTAGACATACAGGATCGGATTCTGCGGTTCGGCAACAATAAACTGCAATACATGTGCCGCATAAAACCTTGCAGACGACTTATGTTTATCGTAATAGCCAGGCCTATCCTAGGGATGCACATTCTGGTTACATATTGCTACGTTCCTGAGAGACGACTATTTACAGGAGGCTATGTCTAGATACGCGGCCGAACTGAACCCGAAACACGTGCAATAACATACATATCGTAATTTTGTAATAGACATGCGTTTTCTTTGCTTTAATAGAACTCCGTTCTTTTAATTAAACAACCATGTTATATATCTGTACTTCAGTTTCAGTTTATTGTTGGGAAACATAGGTATTGAAACTATGAACTCTCTATTTGTTACACGTAAGCGAATTATATCTGGAATTTGAAAATGGAAACATCAAACACCTACAGAAGTTTTTTTTCAAATTGACAAAGTTTTGAAACCAAACAATAAACGAATTACTAATTGTCAGTCTCTGCATAATTGGTGCGATCTCAGTTTATGAGGGAGAAGAATTGAACGCCAACACTCACTTTGAACGGGCGTGGAACAGTCATGAAAACAAACGTTACTGAAATGCAGGCAGTAGTATGATAGAATTAATGAACTGTTCGAACGAAATGCTAGGATGATATCGGTGAGGTGACTTTATTACGTTTAGTGATATACTGGTCAAACTTGCGCTCAAAAGCCTCGACGGAGGTGGACATGACGACATCTGCAGTCCAAACCTTGATCACTCTGTCTGAAAAGAAGATCTTCCGAATGTCCATCCTGGCGCCAGTCACGCGTATTTTAAGTGGAAGATATCGGAGGTTCGTTGTGGCTGCTAACGCAAAGAAATCAGCAGGTAAATGACAGCAGTCATTACCTTACATTATACGAAATTTTTGTATAGGGTCTCCTCTTAACTGTCTGTAACCCAATAAAAAGATCCGAAATCGGATAACCGTGTTTCTTAGGGTAGTGAGTCCCGTCCACTAACGAGTTTGGTTGCCTGTCCTTGACCATTCTCAAGGATGTTGAGACCTTTAGAGGTCCAGGGTTCCCATGCCCGAATACCGAACTCTAGCTGTGGCCGTACAAATGTCCGAAAGACTTTAACGAAGCAGTCCTCATCGATGGTATATAAAGCTCTCTTGACAAGATAAAGGACTGACATCGCGGATTTGCCTACCTTGGAGCAGTGGGGCGATTGTTTCAGAGAAGCCGTTACCCACACACCCAAGTCTTTCTGACTTAATGCAGTGTTGATCAGTCATTCGTCTAACTTAAAACTAACAATTCGCTCGTTATCGGTCAACATTTTAAAGGAGCGGACGAAATTAGGCTATTTCATTTTGATTCTTGGCTAATCTGTGCTTACGTACCTCGACAGGAAAACAGACTGGCTGGTAGTGTCTTTCATTCAACTAAAAACTGTTGACTGCTATTGTTCACTAAAAGGGTAAAAATACAGTATGCAGCTAAAAGACGTTCACAAATACTGCAGCGTTTCAAGCAAATTTTTCAGTGTCACCAAGCGAGGACGGGTCTGCTAAATATAGCTGCGATCAATACACGACTAGCGTCGTCTCACGCGCCTACTTTAATGTCATTAAATCTGGCAGGCTTACGTAATTTGTTCACCGAAAGTGCTAGTATGCTGTTGTACTATTATCATCTTTAGAATCGCATGGGATGAATTTGGGCTGCTAATTTTTTTACAGCCTTAGATAGAAGTCATAGCATAGAACGCATATTTTGTGAGATTGTGCACTTTTGCAGCAGCTCTGGAGTAGCGCAAGTTCTTTTTTGCAGGTTCTGAAGTGCTTTGGCATTACTGCTTGTTTTGACGTCATCACAAAGCACTTGAAGCTTGCCAAGACGAATACCTGGTTTATGCCGCATGGCGTACTCACTAGTTCACGCGTGTGAATCACTGTGCATATACCGAATTAAATAGATAATGCCAGTCTTTTTTCGTTTTAGAGAAATATCCTAGGGGATTTGTAATACAAAAAAAGCCAGAAATAAACGACATGCATGCAACCTCTGTTATATTTTGTGGAAAATGCGCACAGCTATTATGACTACAAATATTCGACTTGCGTAATTTGTACATGACGGGCATCTTAACAAGATATAAATTCTGGGGGCCAAATAACGAATATTGGTGGCCATGACACTGAAAACACAAGTTTAGCAAAACCGCACAATCTCAAAACACCCCGTATAGGGCGCTAAGCACGTTGCTGATTGTAGAGAATCCCGGACAACATGCGACAGGCCGCAGTGGTCGACGACATTGGTGGCAGCACACAGGGCGACAAGATAGAAGAATAATTTGACAGGCACAGGTATGTGCATGATAGGACTAGACGGCGACATGGTAAGAAATAAAGGTTTTATCAGGGTGGAAGGGGATCCGTCTGAATTAGAAGATAACCTTAACGTGCCCCTGAAACAACCGGCGGGGAATGCAGCGTCGGAAGGGCCTTGTGAGGTGCTGACATACACCCTTAGCAGGTGAGATTTACGACGAGAGTTGCGGAAACTGAGGTGAGGGTTATGCGGTGACTGGACACCGGCAATTTTACCAAGTCGCGGTTACACCAGCTCCATCCACGGTCGGCGTCAAAGGTGTTCACCTTAATCGAATAAGCCAATCTAACTCGTGAGGTTTTGAAGTAGGCGTGACAGGTGAGCGTTCAAGGTCATGGACGCCTGGATAGGATATGTATTCGCTGATTAGCCACCCTCCGGCCTATGAGGTTTCCCGATTCCATTTCCTTGTTCACCTCATCCCATAACTCACCACATTTTTGACTTATGTGGCGTATGCATGTCTCATATACAACCGGCCTCCGATTTAAATGACTGTCAATCTGCTTACCGATCAAAAAAGACATAAAGCTCCATATGAAACTCCATATATAAACAGAAAGTGGCAACTCCAAGTAGTGAATTATTGATCTTTTGCATATATGCGATTCCGTGCAGCTTCAAGTCATATTTTACATCGGAGTACAAAATTATTATGAGACTGAATTTCAAGAAAATTGGCGTAACACGAGGTTTACCCTTAGAAGACGAGTTTGTTGGAAGCAGCCTGAGTCGTTGAAATACGGAATTATTTTTGATATAATTTACTTTTACACAAAAGCAATGGTCGCTAAATCAGAACGATCCCCATTTTCCACTTATAAAACTACCTTTATTTAACTGTCGAGAGGCAATACGCTTGTCTTGATCATTGTTTTTTTACCGTTACTCTAGAATCATGACGGGTTTTGCAAAACACAATCCCTATACCATATGCGAATGGAAGAAACACGCATATTTTTTTTCAATCAGCTCTAAAAACAATACTTCAACAGTTTTTCCGATCCCTATGCGTCATCTGCAGCGGAGAAATAGCAAATTGCTGCTGAGGACCCTGGTAGTGGTGTATCAGTTTAAATTGACGCCAAGGTATTGTGATGCATTTCATACTTCAGTAAAGTATTGCTGAACACTGAGAAGGAAAAATGGCCGACAACACCGATGTATTGTGCTCCTAGCGTCTTAGAGATATCTATCCGCTGAACATTTTGAAACTGTCAAATACCAAAGCGAAACAGATTTTAAAATGACTTGCCAAAATAAATAACCTTGAATTGATCTGATTTCCTTTCCTCTAACCGCCTCGAACTGATTAGTTATGAGTTCTACTAGGGTATCTAGGTCTACGTACGAAGTGTAAGTTGAGTTGAATCTTCGGTTATACCTTTGTGGCAGTCGGTATTTAGATGAATTCGTAAAGTTCACTGCGATCAACATATCCTGGTATTCTGCATGTTATAGGCAGAATGTGCCACAATTTGGGGTTGGGTATGACTGGCTGACGACGGCCAATAAGCCAGAAATGGTCGTTCCAGTCTCCCTTGTCTTTGTCGGTAATGCCATTCTGCCTACATATCATGCGCCGCTGTGCAGCTGCTGGTTGGGCTCGAAAGAGAGCCCTTAAGGCACATCGGAACGAGTGATTTCCATGTGAACGATCGATGAGCGTCCCCTACCATTGTATATTCCCGATCGAAAACCGACAGGGCGACGGGCTCGTGGCACAGTGGTTAGAGGCGTGAAGTTCTAACTAACAGGTCGCGATTACGAGCTTTGGGTTTTCCACACGGTGGGGTAGGTTATGACTGGCTAACGACGGTTAATAAGCCAGAAATGACCACTCCATTCTCCTGTGTCCTTGTCGGTAATAGAATTCTGCTTATATATATATATATTATGACAGTGGGCGCTCGCCGATCAGGTTACGGAACATGCTCGTTCCGCTGTGCCTTGGGGCTCATACTAGAACCCTCGCAGGCAGTCGCACAGCGACTAGTGGTAGACATAGATGAGATGATACCGACAAAGACAAGGGAGACCGGAATGGCCATTTCTGGCTTATTAGCCGTCATCAGCCAGTCATACCTAACCCCAAGTGTGGATCACTTGAGATTCGAACCCGGGATCTTTGGTCATGGAGTTTGACGCTCTACCATTGAGCCACGGGCCCGTTGTCCTGTCGGATGTGATCGGGAATATCAATTATGACAGTGGGCGCTCGCCGATCATGTTACGGAACATGTTCGTTCCGCTGTGCCTTCGGGCTCATACAAGAACCCTCGCAGGCAGTCGCACAGCGACTAGTAGTAGACATAGATGAGATGATACCGACAAAGACAAGGGAGACCGGAATGGCCATTTCTGGCTTATTAGCCGTCATCAGCCAGTCATACCTAACCCCAATTGTGGATCACTTGAGATTCGAACCCGGGATCTTTGGTCATGGAGTTTGACGCTCTACCATTGAGCCACGGGCCCGTTGTCCTGTCGGATGTGATCGGGAATATCAATTATGACAGTGGGCGCTCGCCGATCAGGTTATATATATCGAAATAAGGAAGAGGTTCTTCGGAAAAATCGAGCTATGCACGTAAACCTTCGAGGTGGTGACACCAAGCCGTCGTCAGACTAAATGAATTTAAGTGAGAAAGTTAGTTTGTAACATTAGACTAGTTAGCGCGACAGGACAGACAGACTATTGGACTATGAGAGGGATGGTCACAGAGTCATGGTAGGTCTCTGGTCGAGAAGGGAGGGGGGGGGAGGCGGGACAATTACGGATCCCTGTGCTAAAGGGAGAGGGTGGATGGTGGATCATTTGGATCCCGGGTGGCTGGATTGGCGGCCGTTGATGTGGCATTAGGGCAGGGGGCAGTAAGTCGTGAGCGTAGGCCCTCGCAATGGGCGTCCAGGCCAACCTGGCTGTCGATATTACCAGCATTGGAGTATCAAGCCACATCAACGGCCGCTAATCCAGCCACCCTGAGTCCAATTGATCTCCATCCGCCCTCCCCCCAGGACAGGGATCCGTAATTTTTCCGCCTCTCCCCTCCACCCTCGCCCAGAGACCTGCCATGACTCTGTGACCATCCCTCTCAGAGGCCAGTAGTCTGTCCTGTCGCGCTAACTAGTCTACTGTGACTAACTTTCTACCTTTTTTCCATTTCGTCTGGCGACGGATTGGTGTCACCAGCTTGAAAGTTCACGAGCACAACTAGATTTGTCCAAAGAACCTCTTCCTTTTGTCGCTATATCGGCTCGGAATGCACAGTACTTCTGATCTACAACATATATTTGGGCGTCAAGCGCTTATTATAACAAGACGTTGGGAGAAATTCGCACAGAAACAGGCCACGACTTTCGAACGACTGGCCTTTCTCCATCGTTGTCGCGATCACGACGTGTTACCGAATTCGCTTCGTTTCAAAACGACGTTGCCGAATGAGACTGGGAACTTTCTTGCGTGCAAATACGGATGGCGCGTTTTGAGTGCTATAATGTATGATGTCCATAATCACTGATCTTAAAAAGCAGTGCGCTTCAGCCCTACCTGAAAACGTATTCGAGGATGTGCAGCAAAGAATTGACGCCACCATTAAGTCTGCGAGACTGAAGAAGCGAGTTTGTCAACAGGAGTAAATCCAATCTCTTATCCGCCCTACCACGAGAGTTGTCAACCTTTCGAAGAGGCTTCTGTCACCTGCCGAAGTCAGCCTCCTATACAAGGAAATAGGATTTTATCATAGGGATGCCACGCCTACAAACTTCCTAGCTGACCTTGAGTCGGTTCTACTGGCCTCAGCTCTTCCAGAAGACAGGCGCGCAGAAATACGCAGCTGTGCCACTGGCATCCTTCGGCAAAAAAGACGCCAACAAATCCTACCGACTGATGAAGCGCAGGGATTACAATCACTGAAATCAGACCACAATATTGTTGTTGTTCCCGCTGACAAGGCTGGCGCTGCTGTCATCATGGGCAGAATTGACTACGTCAACAAGGCGAATGGAATATTCAGTGGCATAGCGGCCTACACTCTTCTTGCCGAAGACCCGACGAAAAAGCAAGCCGCTGCCATCAAGAAAAAGGTTAATGATTTCACTCGTCTGAACTTTATAAGTGCAGAAGATTCCAAGTTGGTGAACCTCAGTGATCCCCATATTGCACGCGCGTATGGTCTCCCAAAAGTGCGTAAAGTGGATGTCCCACTGAGGATTATTGTACCAATCATCGGATCACCCACTTACAATATAGTTAAGTGGTTATACAATCATCTGAAGCGGCTCAGTCATGGATCGGACTACAGCATTAATAATTTTCAAGAGTTCCTCCAAAGGACCCAAGGCCTCGAAGAACGTGCTGATGAATGCCCCCTGTCTTTTGACGTCGTTGCTTTATTTTCTTTCATACCGCACGACTTGGCAATTGAATGCGTAGTCCAACGCTTGCAGGAGAATCCTGTTGAGATTCCAAATCAGCATATTATAGAACTTCTCAAACTCTACTGGCAATTCGACAGTAAGTTCGACCGACAGGGAAAGGGAACCCCAATGGACTTGCCAATATCGGGACTGATCGCAGAACTTGTATTGCAGCGGTTACGAAAATAGGTTTTTCAAGCTCTCGGTCCCCAGGTGTGGCTTCGCTAAGTAGACGATACCTTTGTCGCGATAAAGAACTGCAAAGTTGAACGGCTGCATCAGAGGATGAATGACGTCTTCCCGACCATACAGTTTACTCGTGAAGAGGCAATAGGGGACAGCCTGCCGTTTCTTGATGTGAAAATACAAAGGCTGAGCGATGGTATTCTCGAGACGAGCGTCCATAGGAAAGGATCTAATTCCGAAATTATCCTTAATTATGGAAGCAACCACCCCGCAGCTCACAAAAGGAGCTGCGTTCGAACTCTGTTCCACCGGGCCTATCGTTATTGCAACAGCGACGATCTCCTTAAGAAAGAGCTTGCCTACTTGTATCGGTTGTTTCGATCCAACGGATATCCGACAAGTTTCGTAAAGAACTGCCTCAGACACCAGGCACAACCGCAAGCTCCCACCCTCAACGGGGAACCTGTGTCTCGACAATTCTTCTCCCTGCCTTATATACAAGGAGCGTCCGAAGTAATCGCCCGGCGGTTAAATCGCTCTGGTATTCGCATCGCCCACAAACCAGCATCCTCACTACGCGCGGCGCTATCTCGAATCAAGGATCCCCTCCCCAAAGAGCAACAAACAAACGTAATTTATCGCATCCCGTGCTCAAATTGCTCTTGCGTGTATGTTAGTCATACAGGTCGAAGCCTGGGCACCCGTGAACGTAAGCCTTCGTGATGAGCGTCCAAGTCGACATGGTGGTTGATGCTATTGCTATTAGAGTGCGAAGCGTCTAGAAAGTTTCGCGCTTGCTTGTTGTTGGCGCTAGCAATCGAAGGCTTACGTTCACGGTTCGCCGACTTACGCCCACCCCAAGATACCAACTGCTAATCCGTGTTCGGCCATGTAGAATATCAGGGATTCAGCACCTCCCCCACAGAGTGGACCACGTGTGAAACCCTCAACATCTCCCTAACGTCCGCCACCTATCCAAACACGTTCTTCACCCCCACACATAAACGTCTATCTTGTCGATGTAACCTTGATGTCCCCCTAGCTCCCAGCGCGATTATCTCCCTCACACTTTTCATTTCGTCTGACGACGGGTTGGTGTGACCGACTTGAAAATTCACAAGTATACCTCGATTTTCCGACGAGCCTTCTCCTTTTATTATATCGCCTCGGAATGCATATTACCCCCATTATGCATATGTGCATATATATATATATATTAAAGGTATTATACCGTACTCCCGACGTAAATACATGCTAAAAGCCCTGACACGTGATTCGCCGATATTCTGCTGAGAGGGGTTCGGCTCTTCAATGGGACACCCAGCGTTCTCTACGCGGTTTCGGGTATATGAACTCCAGAGAACATATATCCAACATATATCACTAGTCGCTGTGCGACTGCCTGCGAGGGTTTAAGTATGAGCCCCAAGGCACATCGGAACGAGCATGTTCCGTAACCTGATCGGTGAGCGCCCACTATCATAATTAATATTCCCGATCACAACCGACAGGACAACGGGCCCGTGGCTCAATGGTAGAGCGTTCAACTCCATGACCAAAGATCCCGGGTTCGAATCTCAAGTGATCCACACTTGGGGTTGGGTATGACTGGCTGATGACGGCTAATAAGCCAGAAATGGCCATTCCGGTCTCCCTTGTCTTTGTCGGTATTACCTTTCCAACAAATATCACTAGTCGCTGTGCGACTGCCTGCGAGGGTTTAAGTATGAGCCCCAAGGCACATCGGAACGAGCATGCTCCGTAACCTGATCGGTGAGCGCCCACTATCATAATTAATATTCCCGATCACAACCGACAGGACAACGGGCCCGTGGCTCAATGGTAGAGCGTTCAACTCCATGACCAAAGATCCCGGGTTCGAATCTCAAGTGATCCACACTTGGGGTTGGGTATGACTGGCTGATGACGGCTAATAAGCCAGAAATGGCCATTCCGGTCTCCCTTGTCTTTGTCGGTATTACCTTTCCATATATATATATATATATTATGGTAGGGTGCGCTCACCGATCGTTCATACGGAACTTACTCGTTCCGTTGTGCTTTAAGGGCTCTCTCTCGAACCCAACCAGCAGCCGCACAGCGGCGCATGATATATGGGCAGAATGTTTTTACCGACAAAGACAAGGGAGACAGGAATGGCCATTTCTGGCTTATTGGCCGTCGTCAGCCAGCCATACCCATGCCCGAAGTGTGGAACATCCGAACCTCTAACTCGCGACTTTTTGGTTTAGATGTCCACGCCTCTACCCACCGGGCCACCCATCATTCTGCCTATATATCATGCGCCACTGTGCGGCTGCTGGTTGGGCTCGAGGTAGATCCCTTAAGGCACAACGGAACGAGTGAGTTCCGTATGAACGGTCGGTGAGCGCCCCCTATCACGAAGCAAACCAGCTGGTTATTGGTTGCCTGTTCGTGACCTTTGCCACCCATACGGAGCTTGTTTGCTTCGTGAGGCCAATACATCGGTGTGTGCCCATTGCTGACTGAATAAATACCCGATCTGCAGCGACTGAGAATGGCAGGTGGCGAGGCACTGATGAACGTCGATTCAATGAAGTGCTTATGACGCATCTGGTAGACCCCCGTCGTGGACCAGCTGCGCCAGGTGCGTCTGCGCGCATGTTTGTGTTTCTGGTCCCACCTGCTGGTCAGGGTTATGATTGGCTGAATGAAGGCGCAATAAGTCCGGAACAGTACTGTATCAATCTACCCCTCTGACTCTGTCGTCGCCCCTCTGATATATTCATATATAGATATGTAATATTGTCTCGTCTGGCATCATGTTTCAAGTTTGTCTTTTTTGTTAATGTTTATGACAGTAATATCGGTGGGTTTGTATGCAGTCATAATAATTTTAAAATAACGAGTTGAGCTATGTGGTCGCTGCAACGAGAGCTTTATTCGCTGGATGCTGAGCTGTCCTGTTTGAACATAGCGTCGGATAAAGCATTAGATTACTTCATTTGAGGGAAGTCTAATTATGCCCATTTTAACCCCCTGTTTGTAATGTATACTCAAACTATTGTCTACTGACAACGGCATTGTAAACAGTGATCATCTGCTTCCCCCAGCCCTGTCCAATTCTCAGCACAGAATATGAGAGAGGTAGTTCACTGCCCTCCTTAAAATGCTAGACAATCAGAGAACCACGGCTGAAACGACCCACAGTTCATGTGATCGCCACTTAGCGCAAGACCAAGATGTGTGGTCGAGTCCCATCGAATAAACCTCTTCGACTGCTGCTGTCGCTGAGTGTTCAGCTATTCGGGTCCAGGCCATTGTTCCAGCTTCCCAGACATAGTTTCTTTGCCCGCAACTGCAGCAGATCCGATAAAAAGCTCTAGCTATTTTCTATCATTGAATTGGGTACTTTATTTTGATTACCTGTCGACTGACCGTTACTCGCGGTCTCTGTGTAATTCCAAAGGCAGCCGAGCATCCGTCAAAGCATAATACTTCGTCAACCTTGACTTTCGGCTCGCCAAAAGACGCCTAAACAAACTGATGCACCGCTATCGCGACCATTTAGATGATTTCCGTTAAAGTTCAGTATATGCGTTGTTCTTTACGCTTTACTGAACACTTTAGTCTTTAGGTCAACACAAACTCTACGGCAGACGCCGATATCAGGCTAGTCCAACCGGTTGTTTTATTGCCTCCTATAGGAAAATTGTATGCCCAACAGGACGGGAAGAGCGTGCCGTCTGGCGAATAACGCTCTTCTTACAAGGATTGCTCAGCGACTTGGATTTTCACATGCAATGGCAGTTATTTTAGTCCTTCGTCATCATCACACAGAGGCCCAATTGTATATCAGTACCAGTGCGGCGGAGGTGGTTGTCATTCAACCAACGCCATTTGAGAACTGCGGTCTTGTACCGAAGGCGGCTAGTTGATTTTTACACCAAAGAGAGGCCTAAAACAACCTTTCGACTAGCTGCTACACAATGGTAATAACTTTGCCAAAAATCCGCACATTCTTTCGACGTCGGCGACTTTTTGCCGTTTTGATAATTCTTCTCATCCTGTTTATACATTTCGATGGATATTTTACACCTACTTTCCTGCCCAATCCCCGGAATGTCTTCTACTACAATAGACGACCGCTGGATAATTCAGAAATGGGCAATGTTAACGCCAAACTGATGGGGCACATTCCCATGCCGGAGTTTGATTATACAAAAGAGAAGGTGGCTATCATCGTGCCTTACAGGAAACGGAGACAACAACTTTTAGTCTTTTTATCTCGCATGTGGCCATTTCTCAGCAGACAGAGAAAGCAATATGTTATGCTTATCGTAGAGCAGCATGGCTCCGAATCCTTGAATCGCGCTAAACTATTTAATGTCGCCGTTAGGGAGATAAGGCAAAGTGGTTTCGACGATCAGTTGCATGGCATAGACTGTTTCCTCCTCCACGACGTCGACAAACTGCCGGCTTCACCCACCGCTGTCTACGAGTGTGGACAAAATGTAAAGCAGTTGGCAACTACATTTCGGTCGCCTGACAAAATTAAACGGTAAGCTAATTATTCCCCGTGCAAAATGTCAGTGGTTAAATTCTAAGCATTGATCACCAGAAATGTAAGTGCGCCGCTGACGTCAAATAAGTAAACTATTTATCTATATAAAATGGCTGATATTACACTCATTCACTGGTTGCTGCAACGTAGGCTGATTTTTTCTGGATATAATCAGTAATCGAATCCATCTCCTTAATCTAGGGTTTTACTTGTACTGCTGACGAACGCAATTGCTGTGTGGTATTAGCTACGATTAAATAAGCAAAGCCTCATATCAGCGAGAACTTAATAGATTAACTTTTATAGAAGGCAGAAAGAAAAAAAAACGTTTTAAGAAGGCCCTCATATTGCTGTATGTTAAGTCTGCTGGGAGAACAAAGAGAAATTTTGCGCTGAACACATACGGTTAATCAGAAAACAAAATTGAAATACTGGAAGATGACAAAATATTGATCAAGCACTCAATTCGGCATTTTAAAAAAAAGTGACAAATTGTGTATTAAATCCGATTCTCACGACCAAGACGAATAACAAACTTTAAATAAAGTCATCAGTAATGTTTAATAAAACATCAATAGATTCTGATCTCAGATAATCGGTCACACTGTCTCTAATTCCGTTTTTTGAACTAATCTCATTTGTTGACAAATGGTACTGTGAGCAGATGGAGCCAAACGGCTATAGTATTGTTAAAATCCTTTGCTTTGTTATACGCTATCATTCTGCTAAACCCACACAAATGCATTTACTTCCAGGCACTACGATGAATTTGTGGGGGTTGCTACAGCCTTCCGATGGGAACATGTTGAAAAAATTAATGGTGCTTCAAATATGTTTTATGGTTGGGGCGGCGAGGATGATCTGTGGTATCGACTGTGGTCGAACGGGATCACAGTTGACCGACCTTCGGGGAACGACGGTGTTTTCGACGACTTTGGACGCGCTAATACGTTGGATATAACAAGTGAAGCCCTTGAATTGCTGAGGGCAGGCAACATCACCGCTCGGTGGAAAAATGACGGAATTAATCAAACACGTTATAAACTTCTCGCGAGACATGATTACAACTTTTTCATTTGGCTCCTCGTGTCGATTTAAGCTACAGAAGTCTCCTGCAGAGATAATTTTTTAAAAAATACACCAACAGAAAGTCATCAATTCAGTGTTCTGAAGGGTAATTTTTTTCTATTAAGGGCTACCAATTTTTAATCCATCACATTTTGACTTACTCTTTTCGTCTTTAACATTTTCTTACTAAAAAACACCAATTAACCCACAGAAAGGGTAGTCAAGGCTACGCAACGGTCCAGGAAAGCATTCTTAGTAGCGACAGTAGCCCAAATCGTCGCATCTGATGAATGCTGACGATAGATATCAACCTGTGTCGATAATCATAGGTGTTCTTTTTCCTTTGGATTTAATTTAAAGCACCTAGAGCTGAGAAACATTTTGTTGCCTTGCTCACAGCGGTGTTAGTTACTAAGGTTTCTGGCTAATTTTGTGAAGCCAAAGACTGACTCAAGCGATGCTGCGAAGTTTGCATATCCGACAGTTCGACCGTCGCTTCCGACGATGTCCACCGTGTCCCCCACAACATGGATGAAGCAGGGACGGCGACCTGTGCGTGAATTACTTAATAGTGATAGTGGATATGCACAGCATTTAACGCACTCAATCCTCCTCCCTCCGGACCTGTTGTAAAGACAGAGTAAAAAGGACCGGAGGCGGAGTAGGGCGCAGGTGGATGGCACGGTCGAGCCCGCTCCATGGCGCTCCACTCCATACCCACCCCCCGGTCCCCACAGCAAATGACCGGGTTTTTAATCAACAACAAACATGGGGCGACAGGAGTTCCAATGTGCGCGACGTCTGCCGGCAACCGGGTCTGCCACCGCAGTCCGAAATGTTGGCCTTTGTTACGGTGCTCCGATAACGCCTGGTCCGTTTGGAAGACACAATGTAACTGACGCAATTACATCCTGACATGTCGCAGTGCCCCCGTCGACGTGATAAAGCGCTTATGGATTGCTAAAAGCATTATTTAGACGAAGGTTCCCCCATAGAAACTGCAAAAACGATGGCGGACGAATGATTCGCCCACAAACCCTTGAGGGCGTCATTGTCTGGTGAGCTACTTATCACTTGACCAAATAGTCCAAGAAAACATTGAACGCAACTAAGAAGAGACTACTTCCATTTTGTAAGCATTCGTGAGATTTCAGAGGCAAGGCCGCTAATATCATCGCATTATATATTATTTGGGCACTTACTGTCACCAAAAAGAAGATTCGATATCATGGTACCGAGCCGAATAAACCCGTAACCATGTTTACGCAATTTCACAAATAAATAAACCGTGTAATCGTCAAACTTCATTGCCGTTGGAGCAGAAGCAAATGTCCGCTGAATGCTTAACACATTTGTTTGGTAAGTACGTGCATCTACAGAAGGTCAGCACTCAATTAGCATGTTGATGTTATGTAAGCAAATAGCATGTAGTGTGGTAAAATAAAGTTTCACGGCCACAACACCTTACTGCTCGTTCGAAACAAAGGAGACAAACTCCAAAATTCAATGAAACCATTTAAACACCTGGTCACTCTGCGTAACCTTCGACAGAACACAACCTGCAAGTTGAAAGGCGTGTTCACGAGGTCATGCACTAGAGAATTTAACTGCAGCGAAAAACGTTACGGTTTCTTTCAGGCCAGATGCTTATCTGGGTAAGTATGTCCCTTTAACTGTTGTCCATGCGATCTCATTCACTATCTTCAGGAAACATTAAGCGCCCAAATATTAGAAACAGCTGCTGGTTGATTGGCCAAATGCGTGATCAGTATAAGGTTTCTACGGTCATTAACTGTCATCTACAAGGACATGGAAAACCCGACCTGTCTTACAATTAATTTCCCGATAGTGTATGTGACAAATGGTTTATGTGGTAGATGGGCGCTAACGGACCAGGTTTCGGAACTTGCTCGTTCCGTTGTGCCTTGGGTTCATACTAGAACACCCGGAAGCGGTCGCACAGGAACTACTAGTAGACGTGTACGAAATGGTTGAGACAAAGACAATGAAGACCGGAATGGCCATTCCCGGCTTATGACCAGTCATCAGCCATTCATACGCAACCAGAAAATGTGGATCATTTGAAATTTATACCCGGTCACAACCAACAGGACAACGGGCCCGTAACTCAATGGTGGAGTGACAAGTTCCATAACCAAAGATCCTGGGTTGGGATCTCATGTGATCCCCACTTGAGATTGGGAATGACTGGCTAATGACGACTACTAAGCCAGACATCGTCGTCCTCGTCTTCCTTGTTTTTGTCGACACCACCTCAATGGTATATATATGTATCGGCGAGATGGAAAGACAAAGAACGGGGCGCTTGATACACTGCTGTTTCGGGCCGAAATGAAGTTCGTTCGCAAGCTGGCATCCTGCGGTAACTGAAATATTATAGAATGACGTTGCAGGCTGACTAGTTTTACAACCCCACTTAATTAATCTTTTCGAAACGAAAACGCGTTTGGGGATTTTGATTGACACTTCATGAGTTAGCCCACCTACTGCAGATGCATAATCCCTGGCGGGGAACATTTGCGTAGGCAGGTAATCCCCATGAACTCCGTTAGATACGGTTGTTTTTATATTAACCTCGCGTGAGCCGAGCAACATCAGTTTTGCCCTGATAATTCCATTTAATCGTGGCTTAGTCCAGATTAAATATTGTCCTCGTTGAAAGGCACAGATTTTTTTCAGTTTGTGGAAACGGACTATTCCATCATATTTCGTCTTATATTGGTAATGGGTGATGCCTTATACGAAACTGGTATTTGTCCCAGTGAATTAATCCTATAATGCGTTTTTACTTGAAGAAATATGCGTTCCGAAGAAGGACGACTGGCAGCCCACGCACTGCAGCGTTTGCTTCGAATTCGACCTTTCATGCTTCTGCGTTAGGCTAAAACTAAACGTATTCATGCAGCAAAACTTAACTGTATGACAGCACACACCCTATGGCTACACCTCTTTGACTCGCAAATCTAATACGGACCTCTTGAAGGCTTACAACCCTGCCACGTATGCGTTCTCTGCATCGGTAATGTGAGCCTCCTCGCTGGCGATGACAGCATGTGACAAAGAAATTGATGTTTTTTTGAAAAAAAATAAGGTGGTCATGGTTACAGTTTTAAGTAGGTAGGGGCTCCAAAGACCGCTCATGTCTCGTTGGCCTAGTTTGTCTAGACGCCAGTAGTTTAAAGTGCAAAGCCCTCCATTGCATTTACGCGACGTCCCCCTACCTATAAATACGCATACTATGAAATTGCAAATGTCGTGACGCTCGGCAGTTGGCTAGGGAACAGTGATTGACAAATCTAAACAGGCTGCCAATACACGAACACAGTACCTGATTCCACAACATTTCCTAGCGTTAGCTAGACGTTGGTTTGCACTTCAAATCATTGTGAGTGTCATATAGGCCACACTAAGGAGGAGTCATTGCAGTGGGACTTTCAGTCGTATAGATGATTCAGTCGCGCCATCGGTTGACAACTATGGCGAGTCGCGGTAAATGCAGGTGTGTAAGATTGATCATAGCGCTGAATTCGCCGATATGACTTAGAGATGACTTCTTTGGTGTCGTTCTCAATTGCCTTTCCCTTTCCCATGCGCGAGTCAGAATTTTACAGCCAGTTGGTGATCGGATCAGGATAGATGACTGGGACAACGTAAAGCCTGCATTTTAAGGCGCACCACTGAAACACTTTTGACATATTTATTGAGCTATCGGGGATCCCTCTAGGACTGGTTGACGCATACCGTGTTTTGTTTTAACACATTTTCAGCTTGCCCCTTTTGGGGATTCACAAAAGCTCGGCAGTCCACATACCTTTCGCTGCAAAAATTGCCTTACCGCTGTTTTCAGAAGAAGTAGTACGACATCATAGAAAGAACATTATGGCGAAAGAAGATCAGGGACTTTTGTGTAGAAATGGTGACAAAACAGTAAAAATGCATTAGAACCAAATACACACCTAGGTCTGCATTGGCATGACATATAAGGTAGACAACTTTAAATAAATAGCTTAATTAATAAGTACATCGCGAGCTAGCATAGGGAAAAGACTATTTGTCCAAAAAGGATTAAAAAGGGTACTCTTGTAAATAGATCTGTTCGCTGTTTTAAATGTAAATGAAATTCGTAAACCATCTAAACGAGGGTGCCCGGATCGAAGTCATTTGGCTTGGTCAGGAATAAATTATTGCCGGTGGGGAATACTGTTCCCCTCTAGGACACAATGTTAGTTCAGATAAATTTAATGTACAATGCGTGACCTATCTCCTGAAATGTTGGCTGAAATTCTGAAATGCGTTTTCGATTAGGCAGGATTACTTGGTCGCGGTTGTAATGCTGATTATCTTAAGGCATACTTTTCTAAAATTTCTGACTCGGCAAGATCTCGGTTTTTAAATGCACTTCCCTTCACTCTCCTGTAGAAAGCGTGCTCGGTAAAAAATGACTACTTATGTAGCATGCATTTTTCCCATTGATTTTCGATGGTCTTGCAAATTCAAATATATTACATAAAAACCACAAAAATATGTGCTTTCTTTTAGTCAATCAATAGAAAATAACGTCTTCTTTATATTGTATACTTAAGGAAGGAGTATATTTAGGTTTTAAAAAAGTTTTCTAATTGCCAAAAAATTTGGAGCCTGATCATTCGTTGCATTAGCGCCTAGTGATTACACTCTACAAGGTGCATGCGTTCCGCGTAAAGAAAATCCCATATTTTTTTTGTCATTAAAGAGATCTTATGCAGGGCCCTTAAAATTTTGCAATGGATGCGGACCATGTTGTACATTTCATGAGGAGCAGTGGTAAACGGCCAGGTACGATGCTATGTGAATGGACATATAGCGGTCTTAAAAAGTTTCATAACTAGAAACTAGAAACCTGATTATACTCCTTCCTTAAGTATAAAATACAAAGAAGACGTGATTCACTATTGATTGGCTAAAAGAAAGTACATTTTTGTTTGTGGTTTCTGTAAAATGTATTTGAATTTCCAAGACCATCCAAAATC